GAGGCTGCAACCCATAGGTTGAGAACCACTGCTCCGGAAGGAAAGGGAAATGGATGACCTGGAATTACTCCCTGTTTCCTCTTCCTTAGCATCTCCCAACAGAAGCTCTGACCACCCACCCGCCCCCTTGCTAGGAAACGCATGACCCAGAGTTACTCACGGTTAGTACGGTGATGTTTACTGTAGAGTCCCCTGTGCATCGTGCAGTCTGAGTTATTCCCCTTGCAGACCCCACAGGAGTCCTCGGCAGCATCTGACCCAAGGACATTGTCACAGCCAACTTTCTAGAGGCCCCACAAGGTCACAAATCATTCATGAAAAAAAAAAAAAGGACAATACAAGCAACAACATCACCAACCTCGTGACAAACTCTTCCTCCCACTCCAGCCGAACATGTTTCCAACATAGAATAGTTAACATATAGGTGCTGGATACCAAGTATGTGCACAGCATGGCTGCTCCTCCCCCCCCCTCCCCCGGCACCTTTTTTCTTGTAATATGCTCTCTGTCTTCTGTAGTATCCATCCCCAGTTGTAGCACTTGAGCTTTAAGTTAAAGCTCTAGACTGTGTTGGAGTGAATTTCAGAGCAATACTGACTTGGTAAGATGACTATCAGTGTGTTCACACAAGGCTCTACTGAAGTGGGTTTATAACTGAAAGTGATTGACACTGCATGGAAATTCTCCCCATCAGTGACTTATAGAAGCTGGATTTGTGCAAGGCTGCAAAATTAAAGAGCTTGTCAGTTTTTTCTGTGATGCTTGCTGATTTCATATTTCCTATCAATGAATGTCTAAGAATAAAATCCATTCAGAAATAAACCAGTCATGGTCTTAGCTCCATGCTGGGAATGCTCAGGGCCAGACATATTTTGTAATGCTGTTGTGTGTGAACTTAGATCAACTGTGTCAAGTCTATCATGTATGTGGGTCCCCACAGGGGCTTGAGGCTGTGCTCTATAGAGTATACATTGATATTTCTACCGCAAATCTCTACATGAAATGAGAGGAAGAAAGTCCACCAACAGTTATACATGAGAACAGGGAAAGTTATGCCACCAAGCTAATTCAGGTTTCCCAAATTTCTCCTAGGTTTTTGGGTTAGTTTCCCAGACTTTTGGGTTTTGGATTCATTTGCTTCCTCTTGCCCTGTTGCAGCTGAGGTCTAGACAGTCCATCATGTGGAGATCATAATGATAGTTGAAAAGTGACCCCCACCCGACTGCTCATAACTCTGCCTAGAAACTCTACCCCTTGTAGATCTGCTAACCCCAAACCCAGTTTCTAATCTACATGGCAGTGGTCACCCTTTGTGAGTTCTAGTTCATGCTCTCAGAACCTTGAGATCCCCACTGCCTTTTGGGTATCCCATTGGCTTTCCAAAGCCACTGTGCTCTGCTCTCAGTAACCTTTTGCTCCAATGCACCATTCCAGATAGAGCTCAGGTGTGGATGCTCCCTCCTCCTAGGTACCCACAAATGCTCCAGACCCACATCTAAGAATCAGCTCTCCCCTCTGCTCATGCTCTGTACACACCTCAATCACAAAGCAGTGCCATCAACATGAGCTCTTCTGGCTTTCTCCCCCTGGGCTGGGACTTGGAGGGAAAGGGCTCCTCTCATATGTCTGGTCTTTCTAGCCCTTACAGGATGCCTGGCACAAAGCAGACTGTCTGGAGACATTTGTTGAATGAATAAGCAATCATTATTACCTCACATATCCCATCTATACAAACATTACGGCTATCCTCCGAGCATGGAGTCCCATCTTTCACTTTATTTGACAAAGAAAAGAAGAAATCAAATCCTTCTGCGATACAGTAGAGTTTGCATAAGTCCTGATCTTAAAAAGAAATACACACACAAACACAAATGAGAAAGATACTTAAGCTCGGTTTCTTTTGCTCTGAGGTTTAGATAGATTTTTCTTTGGTTGTCTCCCCCCATAAAGTAAGTCCCACACAATAACACATTTTAAAGACTTTTTTTTTTTTAAAAGACAGAGCCTCACCATGCATCCCCGACTAGCCTTGGACTCACGTACATCTATCTGCCTCTGCCCCCGCCCCCATGAACAGAAATAAAAGTATATGCCACCATTCTGGTTGTGGCAAAGAAATTTCAATGTTTATCTTGGGTAAAATCCTTCAAATTTATTATTATTATTTTTATTCATTAATGCTTCACTGTTATTTTTTCTCTAATGTCCCTTGCCTAACGGTTCCTTTATGTAGTTGTTGGCACACAGTAGGCACTCAATAAGCATGTGTTGACTGGACTACAACATTCATGATACAAAGACGATGTTACAGGATTGTAAGCTGATCAGGAGTGTTTGGTAACACTGGGCAAGATTCTTATAATTAAGATGCAATAAACATTAAGCTTTGTCTTTAAACTGATAGAAGAAGGGTTAAACGGGAACTCCAGGGTATGATGTGTTCTGTAGGAATGCTGGTAGGACCCCGGGGATCTGAAATCCCTCACGCTTCAAGGCTCTGCAGATCATATGTCTAACTGAAGCTTTCATAGGGACCTTCTCTCTTTCATCTGGATAAAATCAGGACAGCTGACTCTGGAAGCCACACCATCTTGGGAGTTTTCTCAGGTCTAGGGACCTCTCCTTCCTCTGGATAAAATCAGGACAGCTGACTCTGGAAGCCTCACCTTGGGAATTTTCTCAGGTCTAAGACTCACTTACAGATATTGTGCTGTTTTTTAAGATGTGAGAATTACCTAAGGATTTTACAAATAAAATTTGCATGTGCTTAATATGATTATTTTCACAGACTATCATAGTCAGAGGTAGCACACACATTTCACCCTGTCACAGGTCAGTCCTGTTTCCCTCAACTCCCATAGACTGTGTTTCTTCTGGCTGTTGTTTATCATGTTGTTTATCTAGTTTTACAGTTTATACATAAGATCCAAACTAAATCTGCTTTTGGGAGACTGCTTGCAACTCCCTACACAGGTCTGAGTAATTTCAAAATCCACTACTGAAATGCTGGATACATAGCCACATGGAACATCTCTGCTCTTGTACTTCCCCTGGACATCTGCCACTTGCCTGGACAGAATTCTCAGTTTCAAGTAGTGAGATAATTACATGTTCTTTAAATAAACTTGAACCATGTCTCTTGAACTACCAATATTTTTTATAATTTTAGCTACACCTTGCTCACATCTCTCCCACTGGTCACTGGGAATCTAATTCACTCCAGGAATAAATTTCTTATTGTGTAGTTATAGAGTAAGATTTTATTGCTTTAGTATACTTAAAAAATTATTCATTTTCTATAAAGCATACTATAATTTTCTTTCAGCTTTTAATATTTAAGTATGTCGTGGATGGTGTTTTTGTGGTAACATCAGCATTAAATAGTCATTATGGATTTTTAATAACTACTCATTTGATGTATTTGGCCTGTGGACTTCTGGCCATGGGTCAAGTGCAGGTAATATGCAATGGCAGTGGGGTAGGCCAGATCAAACCAATCCCCTAAGAAAAGAACGTTACGATGGGCTCCCAGGTCTACAGTATCTGTTTGTTTGAACATGGCAGTGCTAACATATGATGTATTAAACACAGGTAATGAAACATGGGGCGCCCTACAGAGTGGGACTGGAAACTTACCTTCCACTTGGGTGTAAGGCTTCCACTTGTACAGCCACCCTCGGAAATGCTTGCTGTTGTACTCGGCACACTGGGCAGCACGGAAGTCTACACTGTCCAGGGGGCATTTCTGACTGTTGCAAAGCTTCAGCGTGCGTGTGGAGCCCTGGCAGAACTTCCCTCCATGAGATGGTCTGGAATGCACATCGTAGCCAGAGATCAGCTCCCCCTGGACGCTATGTTTACTGGGGTGACATAGCTGATAATATCAACTGCTTAGGGTGGGCAGTGAAGGGAAGCATCCTGAATCCATCCTGCGTGTTATGGTCCTGATGCTGGAGGACAAGGTGGAGTTCGAGATTCAGGCTTGTTGTGGACTTGTTCCTTGTCCTCCAGCATCCTCTGGAGGAGGCAGAAAGTGAGATGCTGCTCTTCATACCCTATAGGTGGGTAGCTTTGCTGCTGAGAATGAGGTTGGCTTTCCAGGATGCCTCAGTCAGAGTGAGATACCGAGGCAGAAAGTCAACATCATCTTCTTCCTACTGCCAGATCCCTTGTGACAAGGCCAGGACATTAGGCCTGTGGACCAAGTCAAAGAATCACTGGACAGCCCATGAGCCTGCTGGTTTCTGGAGAGTCTCCATGAGCCTGGGTGGGCACACTCAAGAGAACAGTGGAGTGATTTTGGCAACTTTGGGGCCTCATGCTTTACAGATAAGAGCAACGGAGTAACATGACTTATTTCTGAAACAAGCCAGAGAGCCCTTTATGTCCCTGGCTAGGTGACTGTCTCTCCCCATCTAGTCCTTGTAGTTATTCTGCTTGTTGTAAAAGTGAAAATATTTGATGAAAAAGCAATGGTTTTTTTTTTTCTTTCATGAAAGAATTATTCTTATTGGAGTTTTTGGTCCATACTCTATTTCCTTTTTCTTTAAATAAAGTAGCCAGTTAGATAGCATCTTAATTTCAAGTCATGTAGTTAAAACTCAGTTCTGCCCTGACTCTGCTGGCTCTGTTATATTTTACTGGGAGTCAGGAAGTGGTAAGCATCATAAACCACATAAAAGAGAGAAAATTGTTTAGGGAATGGTGTAGTGAGTAGTTGTTCCAGCTTTGACCTTGAAACACTGCCCGTAGTGTGGCAGCAGGTAACTGCCACACCTGCCTATGACCTGCCCCTGGGGCGTGGCCGAGAGGAGACCCCTTAAGACCCGAGATGTGTACATGTTTGCTCTCTTAGTTCCTCATGGTCCTGGAGCCTGGATTACAGACCAAGTTAGAGTTCTCCAGAGAACTATGCTGGACTGTACCTCATCTCTCCCAGATCCTGTAATCGACCTCTTATTGGTTGTGAGTTACCCCTGAAATAAACCTCTTTTAATTACCAGATAAACTACGTGGAACTGCTTCATTAATTACCACTATAGAATGGAGTGGAATTCCCCTCTCAGTGTTCTCTGAAAGATTGTGTAAGTTATAGTGCTGGTATTAACAAACTTGGATGCTGTGGGAAGGCTCATTCGGAGGGGAGGAAGCAGGTCATGTACATACCTGGGATTGGTACAGAGACGGTCTCTGTGAGATACTCCTCCCCCACAGGTCCGGGAGCAGGGGGACCAGGGGGACCAATCTGACCAATGGCCATGGGTAGGCTTGGGGCCTTCATCACCATACTTCACACACTGTCCTCCACGACACCACTAAATATTTTAAACATAAATTTAAAATAATTTACGTGAGTCCCGCATAGTTGAATTTATTTCTCTTGTATTATCAAGGGGAGGGTGTCTTGTAAAATATGCAAACATTGACACCTCTACACTCAAGTCACATTTAGTGTTTCTTCATTTATCTTTCCAAAAAGAGCATCACCCAGTGAATCCCTGTAAAGGGAGGATGCAGGGGTCAGTCACGGCAGAAGCCTGAGCTCTGCAGTGTCAATGCAGACAGAAGTGAAAAATTGACATGATCACTCATCTCCGAAGTCATGACCCCTGACTTCTAAAAACAAACCTTCTTTTCCCTTCTTGCATTGTGAAGAGAGTCTCAGGTAGAACAGCTGCAGGAGACCTGGGACTCAGCACCTTGTCATTTCTGGTCAGCACCTGGATTTTACTATAAAACACCTGGGCTCAGGGAAGCCAACTTGTTCATTTAGGGCAGGTTAGATGTCACTTAGCTTTCTGCAGAGATGAGGCAATTGCTCAGGAATCCCATCTCTTCCCATGAGGACTAGGGATGGATGCTATCAGCTCCCCCTTTGTAAAAGAATGGCTCACTGATCTCAATTCCCACTGGACTCCATATGGCATCTTCACCTCCATCACACACACACACACACACACACACACACACACACACACACACTGCTACTTTTTGATCCTGTGCTCTGAAACTTCCTGTAGTATTAGTATGACCTTAACCTCACGGAGTACAGTGATTTGTGATTCAGGGTATCTATTAAGAAGAGGGAAGACAAATGCCTTATCTTTTTCTGTCTGCATTAAAAAAAAAAAAGATCCTGGTTCATGAGCACTAGGTGCACGTCACACAGCCATCTCTAGGATAAAAGCCAATAGCTTGGCACTGAGAGAAAGCAATGCTTCTTCTGAAAAAGGAAAATGACACCATTTCGATCACCTATTTCTGGTGCATGGGTAAAACACATCAAATCAACTACTGACCTCTGACTGTTGTTGATACACGCAAATGGTTTCAATCAATGTTTAAGAAATATCAGGATACACATAATATGGAGCAGGAAATGGAAAAATGGGGACAGGGACTCAAAGGGGGCTAATTCAGAAGGAGAAGAGGGGAAGATGGGCAAATAACACCAGGGTTGTCTGATAAAGCCTCAAGGAATCTTGTTATTTTATATTGACCTAAATCACACACAATACATATGCATATATATGTACATATACACACATTCATAATATATACATGTGTGTGTGTGTGTGTGTGTGTGTGTGTGTGTGTGTGTGTGTGTGTGTAGCTTAAGGGAAGTTATGCCACCAAGGTTGACAATGCTCTCCACATTGTCATAGACTAACAGAACCCCCAGTACCAGGCACTAGAAATCCCCTCTAGAATGGTTGGCCAGGGTAGTCCAAGTGACTCTCAAAACAACACAAAATGTGGCAGCTGCCAATAGCTGATTCTCAGATGTTGAAGATGAGACCCTGTTGCCGAAGACACTACATACTTAGGATACGGGACTTTGATACGTTAAGCTGGATCTGACTCGGAAGTCTCTCTTCTGTCTAGATTCCACGGTGTCAGAAAATCCTATGCCAGATGCTAAGGGAGGAAAACTGACGGTCGTACCTGGTTCTGACACCACAGCAGTGACCATCATGGCACCCAGCTGTGACACCATAACATTGACCACATGGCACCCAGCTGCGACACCATAACATTGACCAGCATGGCACCCAGCTGTGACACCATGACATTGACCACATGGCACCCAGCTGTGACACCATAACATTGACCACATGGCACCCAGCTGTGACACCACAACAGCATTGACCAACATGGCACCCAGCTGTGACATCACAACATTGACCAGCATGGCACCCAGCTGTGACACCACAACAGTGACCACATGGCCCCCAGCTGTGACACCACAACAGTGCTCAACATGGTGAGATATTAGTAAAGGTGCAGTAGATGCCACTCATACGTGGTGGTAACCAGCAGCAGTCTCACTGGACCTATGCCCCTTTCAACAGGAAGAAAAGATATGTGGTACCAGAAACCTAGACAACTCCCTAGTGCTTATGAGGTTCTCTCTTGGGAGAGAACCTACCCGCCTCTCCGTTAGAGCAGCTCAGTTCCTAACTGCATTCTCTATCTTCTCTTCACGCCTATGGATAGGTAGAGCTATCTCCCCTCATCCAAGAAGCCTCTCTACAGTAAATGGAGACATCACAGAAAGCCAGGAATGGGCACAATGCAGAGATCAATCAATTATGGGCTGCATCTCAGTGGACATATCTATATCACAGCTCTTGCATTTAGGTCTCAGGGGACTTGTCAAAAGAGGGAGCAGAAAGAAGGTAAGAGACAGAATGCCAAGAAGCCTGCTGTGAAACACTGTCTTGTAGAAATGGCTGCAGAAACAATATTTGACCAATAACATAATCAATACACATGAAAACGTGGAAAGGAGACAATCTCACAGGGCCCAACCACTAGGCAGGGAACTACGGCCAGGAGAAGGAGAGTTAGACTCTCCCAGGGATGAGGCCCCTAATTTGTCATCCAGTACAGAGTGGTTGGCCTTGAAACAAAATGCACACACACAATCAAAACAGGCTCAGCAGGTTGTATTTATGTATTTGTGCACATATACATGCATTCTATATATTCATGTTATATAAATTGTATTATGTATATAAATATATATGTAAAAGCAATACTAATTAGGGAGAAGAGGCTATCAATTTGAAAGTGAGAGGAACATGGAAGGAGTTGGAAAAAAGTATTGTGAGAAGCTGGGGGCAGGAAAGTGAAAGGGAAAAGTGATGAAATTATATTTTAATCAAAAATATATAAAAAGCAAATAATTTCAAAAATCTCCTCCGTGTAGTTCTTTATTTTTCTCTCCATACAAAGAAAATCTTTCTCTTGATTCATCATCTGCTTTCATTCCACATGACAAAACAAAGTTCTAAGAGATACCTCTGCTCACTGAGGTTCATGGAGCTGGGAATGAACAGGACTCCCACTCTCAGACACCCCCCATCCCAGGTGAAAGACAAGATGGGGAGAAGCCAGGCCAAGGTGTGGTACCCATGGATGGGCCCCTGGTAGGAGGAGGAAGAGGTCAGGTGTGTTTGCTGCTGATTTTATTCAGTTTTAAAACCAGCTGGTTGAAGCCTTTCCACACAGGGAGTAGCAAATGCAAAAGCCAGAATCTGCAGGTTGACCAACTTGAGGATATTCTCAGGCAGGCCTGTCTTAGTATGAAAACAGGAGATTGGAGCTCCTGAGCAAGGCAGGTGAGCAAAGGCCCAGGCCTGTCTCCCAAGCAAGGAGCTCGCTGCATGGGAGAAGCACAGCATTTCCTGGTGCCTGCAGGCCATCTTGCTGTGGATCACAGCACTCCTGCATATGTCCTGGCTGAGTCTACATATTGAAAATGGGTGGTGACATTGGAAAAGCTTTCTATCTCCTTTTTAATTAAAACAAATTTTTAAATGGAAAATTTCAAATATGCACGGATAAAGGTGCATGATGTTCTTGAAGTCAGCACTCGAAAAGCTTCAGGGGTGGGGCCAGGCTCCTGCGGGAATGCAAGAAGGGAGGACACCCCATCTTTGCTATTTGACACAATCTACAATCATCTGAGAAGAGTTCCGATGTACCATGTCAGCCTGTGGCCATATCTGTGGGAGATGGTCTGTACCACGTCAGCTTGTAGCCATGTCTGTGGGAGATGGTCTGTACCATGTCTGCCTGTGGCCATGTCTGTGGGAGATGGTCTATACCACGTCAGCTTGTGGCCGTGTCTGTGGGAGATGGTCTGTACCATGTCTGCCTGTGGCCATGTCTGTGGGAGATGGTCTGTACCATGTCAGCCTGTGGCCATGTCTGTGGGAGATG